TGCAGGTAAAATTCATTACAGCTACTCTGTAATAAAAGTCTTTCTCAGGTGCTTTCCTGCACTCCAATACCACAATTATGATTTATTTCTATTAATATCTGTGTTTTAAAAGGAAACATTAATTCATGATACAGTCCTAAATAAATTTATTAATGGAAAGAAGAGGTAATTGCTGGATAAAACATTAACTGTGATATACAGAAAAAAATAATGTGCACAAATTTCTTGAGGTGAGAATTGATTTTTCTATTCCTTAATTGACTTTGACGGGAATGGTTAATACCATATTTCTCCCCTCTTCCATGATAGTATGTCAGTTATGTGTAATGGCCTTGTCTCCTGTTATCTGTCTGATATTCAGAGCACTGATTGATAATGCATTTGAGTGAATCTTTGAACTAACGTGACCCCAGGTGACCTTGGAGACCACTTTTTCCTCTTTTAATGCAGAGAATAATCAGGGCTAAATCTGTGGTTTGAAAGGCTTTGTATCTGTTTTTATAAGACTCTCACCTTCCATGCTTTTCAGATACCATGTCCTGCCAGTAATGGAATTGGGCCTCCAACTGTGTAGGCGTTTATTTAATTATTTGTACATTTGTTAATTTTAAACTGTATTTCACTTTTGTTTCCCCTTTCTTGTCACGGTCTAGACCTTATTTCCTTCGAGTGGGCAGCATTTGGTAGACAAATCAATTATCCATTTGTTGGACAGAGAGCCTTTGCAAATTATACATTAGCTGATTGATTTCTCCTCTTTCCTGTTAAGGGGCTGTGAGTAAAAGGTGGGATGATGATGAGCATCCTGGGAGGCATTTCACCACAGAGAACACAATTAATCGCTTCTGTCCATATCATTATGGTTTTTACTCCTTTATTGAAAAGGCTGACTGATTCAGCCTACCTCCAACCTAAAACTCCACCCTTCCTCTCACTGCCTGTTAGGTTATTGAATGGCAGTCTTAGTTTGCCTTACTTCTGAGCTTTATTTTATATTTTACACCCCTTTGAATCAC